TCATTCTTTAAGAAATAATTGAGCATACTCTGAAAAAGGTGATGTATTAATCAAAAATACAAAAAATATATTCATGATTTCTGCTTTAAAAATATCTTCTGGCAGATAAGGTGGAGTACATTGAGAACTATGCTATAAGACACAAGGCAGCCTGGGGTACTTTATTCCTCTACTGTAATTGGTTATTTGGTTTTCCCTTTATTCTCTCCACCATACTGTTAGTGCTAGAAGGGAAAACTTCTTTGGATTTACCCCACTTCATCTACGTAGTATGTTAAGTGTGATAGCTCATCATAGCTACTTATTGAACAAAAGGATCTATACAAATGTCCTACTATGAATATAAACAAGATACTGAAAGATTTTAAAGTAGAGGACTTCCATGTGTAAAACAAGAAAGGTTCTTGAAAGACAAGGCATCCAAAGAGAGGTTGATCGTAAAGAGAATGTCCTCTTTGTGCATTGGGTGGGACAAAGCAGTGGGTGCTTTTGAGCATAGCGGGTATGTTCAAATCGCCTCATGCCAGAACTGAGGCGGAGGGTTTATTTAGAATCGTACTTCTCTAGATTGTTGGTTAAGGAGGTGAGGCTGCAATCAAGATGTTAGCTGGGGTCCAAGTCTCAGCCTAGGTGGGATCAGCTTTCAAGCTCGCAGTCATGGCTGTTGGCAGTTTGCAAGTCCTCCTTAACTGTTGGCCAGAGACAAAGGGAAGCTGACAACATGGTAGCGGGCTTCCCTTAAAGTGAGTGAGTGTCTAAAACTGACACCACAGTCTTTTGGTAACCTAATCTCAGAAGTGACATTCTTTGCTACATTCTGTTCACTGAACATGAGTCACTAAATCTAACCCACATTCAATGAGAGGGGATTACACAAGGAGCCAGGGTTACTGGGGGCCATCTTAGAGGCTCTCTATCACAGTAATATATGTCATTTAACAAAGTATGTAAAAAATTATTTAGTATGTAATCGATATAAAAATATTACTAATAGATATTTAATATTTTGGTACTTAGCTTACAAAATGCAGTGTGTATTTTACACTTACAGCACATCTCCATTCAGATGGTATATTTTCTTTCTTTTTTTTTTAAGATTTTATTTATTTATTTGACAGAGAGAGGCACAGCGAGAGAGGGAACACAAGCAGGGGGAGTGGGGGAGGGAGAAGCAAGCTTCCCACATAGAAGGGAGCCCGATGCGGAGCTCCATCCCAGGACCCTGGGATCGTGACTGGAGCCAAAGGCAGACGCTTAACACCTGAGCCACCCAGGCACCCTCTTTTTTTTTTTTTTTTTTTTAAAGATTGTATTTATTTGAGAGAGAGAGATCACAAGCAGCAGGGTGGGGCAGAGGGAAAAGCAGACTCCCCGCTGAGCAAGGAACCCTACGCGGGACTGGATCCCAGGACGTCGGGATCATGACCAGAAGGCAGACACCCAACCCATCGAGCCACCCAGGAGCCCCAGATGGTATATTTTCATTCGAAGGACTTGATCTGTATTTAGTTATGATAAAATTTATAGTTAAAAAATAGATCCACACACCTGAGTTCCAAATATACTTAAATGCAACTGAATCAAGTATCGGTTTTAAAACAGAAATTAAATTGAACTAAAAGTATAATCCCTCAGTCACACTAGTCATGTTTCAAGTGCTTAATAGCCACATGGCTACCATACTGGGTATCAGAATTCTGGAAGTTTGGCTGCAAAAGGAAGGAGGGAAATAAAATGATACTTGGAAGGAACAGGAAAGTGGAAATTACGATAATAGAAATCAGTGCACTTTGTGTGTGTGTGTGTGTGTGTTCTGGGGAGAAGGAAAGAAATCTAGGGTGATAGAAACCCAGGATATAGTTAACATGTTTGGATTATCGATCAGATTTGAGTGGAGGTGCAGTGAGTACAAAAACCCTGAAGTGATGAATGGCTTGTGGTAAGTACCTTGTATTCTGAGTGTTGAAATGTGAAAGCATTGAGTGTGGGAGACTGAAACCAGAGGATTTTCAAACTGTTTTTTGAGTTTGTCACTCTGTTCATCATTTTTTCCTAGTGTGTATGCCAAGACAGAGAAAGGCACTTGGAAATGGAACCATTTCCTGTGAGCTCAGAGGAGAGAGACCCTTTCCTGACCAGGACCACAGAGTGTTCTCAGAATAGAAAGAGCTCCCTGGGCATGGAGTTTCTGTCCATGCCACTCTTTCAATCAAATGTTATTTGTAAATTATCACAGAAAGTTTCTTTTCCTTCTCCATTTCGGTGACCAATAGTACTACTGTAGTATGCAGGCTAGATGGCATGCAAAAATACTACTTGTGCCCTGCCCTCAGGTCTAAGATATCTGAGCTGCCATTTTCGGTCTCTAAACATTATTATGCACAGATATCTGTATGTTAGATGTGGAAAGGGACCTGAGATCATCTAGTTTGATACCTGTATTTTGTAAATGAAGGAATGGAGGACCAGAGAAATGATTAACTTAGGGTGACACAAGTAGCATTTAGGATCCTCCCCTGCTTTTTGATTCCCAGTACATTGTGTCCACAACTCCACCTGGAGAAGTAGCAGTTTCTGTTGGTGTGAGTGAGCATTTGCACATCTAGCATCTGCATTCCTATTTAAATATCAGGGATTATTTAGATGGCCCTTGTTAAGGTTATCGAGAGGGTTTGGTACCATGTTCTGTGCGCTTTGGAGCAAGTTTCTTAACTTCTGTAAACCCCATTTAAAGGGCAATGACCACTGTCTCATGAAATCAAATGTAGCAAAAAGGCTCCTGCACAGTGCTTAGTGGTAGATATTAAGTAATGGCTCACGTTTTTCTTCTCTACCACTTGGCTTTTGCTCATTCATTTTTTGTTGTTATTTTGTATGAATGTTTCAGCTCCCAAAGGGATGATATAGTATAAGGGTTAAAAGAGCACTGGCTTTAGAATCCAACAACTTGGTTTTAGATCTCCATTCCAGCACTGATAGCTAAGTTCTTTAAACACGCTGCACATCAGTTTTCTACATCTGGAACATGACAATGGGCGCACTTACCGTATACAGGGCTGTGAGGATGAGTTAGTAGGGCAATTTCCACCATCAAGTCAGCACTCAAGTGTTCTCTGTTGTTGGTGATGTGGTAATAAAATAGGATGAAGCTATTTTATTTTTCTCTTGTGTCTGTTGGAGGCATTTTGGGGACATGAAGGCACTAGCATTTAATAAGTGCTGACTTTGATGTGAAGAATACCTTTGCCTCTTTATTTGGTACATTATGCCAGATGTATCCGAGAGAGGAGTTCCATTAAGTTATTCTTCCCTCATATTAATCACGGTCCTCACTGGTCACGTTAAGCTGTAGCTATAACACCTGAGTTCTGACCCACAGCAAGTTACTGGGAAAAATGGAGGAGGTTTCTTTCCAATCTAGAATTCAGTCTGTTCCAATTTAATCCTGTCCCCCCACCCCCTTCAATAGGCAGGAGATTTAAAACCTTCCTGAGGATTGAATACTTTTAACTATGTTGGTCTCTTTGAACTTCTTATATCTCTGACTGGTCACACAATAGTTGATTCTCAGCAATCCACCAAGCTCTCATTCTCCTGTGAACTCATGGAACTGATATAACCCTCCCTCTTCTCTTTTCTTCCCTCCATTAAATTGACAAACACTTATAGACCACCCTGTCTTGCTGCACTTAACATTCTAGGTGCTAGCAGAGAATGAGAAAGGCCAGGTCCCAGCTGTCATGGAATTTTCATTCTAGAGGCTAACATCAAATAATACACAAGTGAATACATGAATGGACAGGATGATATCAGATAGTGATAAATGTGATGAATACAAAACAGTCACGTGACAAATAAGGACAGATGGGTGGAGATCGACATTGGCTTGTCTTTTGTGTGGTCAGAGAATACCTCTATCAGGAAACATTTGATCTGTAGTCTGAATGAGGTCAGGGAGCAGGCAATTTGAAGTTCTATGGTTAAGAGCACTTTGGTTAGAGGGAGCAGCCATGTGAATCCTCAAAGAGGAAGGGTTTGGTCTGTTTGAAGGAAGCCAGTGTGAATTACATGCGGAGTTGAAACAGAGTAATCTGAGGGGAGCTCGAGGTTTGCAGAGGCTAGGTCAGTGCTTTTGGAGACTCCCATGCATCAGAATCACTTGAGAGTTGTCAAATGCAAGTTGTAGGGCTCTACCCCCAGTGTTTCTGTTTATGTGGGTCTGAGGCAGGGCCTGAAAATGTGCATTTCTAACAGGGTGCCTGGCGCCACTGCTTCTGCTCTGAAATCATACCTTGACAGCCACCAAGATGGCTCATCTATGGCCTTGGAAGCCAAGGATAAGAATTTGGGTTTTATTCTCAGTGCATTTGGAGGCCGGTGAAGGATCATAGGTGGGAGGTGATCAGATTTACATATTTAAATGATCACTCCTGACTACTGCAGAGAGTAGATTTTAAGGCACAAGAGGAAGAACAGGAGAGACCAGTCAGGAGGCTATTGCAACTGTCCAAACAAGAGATGATGCTTTAATTGCCAGGGTGGTAACAGAGAAGCTGGTGACAAGTACACAGATTCAGGGTGTGTTTAGAGTTAAGAGCCCACAGGACTTGATAGTGGCTTGGAAATAGAAGAGAGTGACAGAGAGGAATCAAAATATACCTAGGACTTCTGCTTGAGTTAATGGGATGTTTAGTGTAGTGCCATTTACAGGCATGGGGAGTAGCGGGGGAGGTTTGGATGAGAATGGGGATGAGGAGTGGAGAGGAGAATCAACAAGAGTATGGGTTATGAGATACATATTGAACATCCAGATGGAGATGACCATGAAACTATTGGGCATATAGATCAGAGTCCAATAAACAGGTCAGGATTGGGAAAATGAATTTGAGAGAGTCCTCAACTTAACAGATGATAGTTAAAACCTTGGAGTTTGACGAAATCATCTGGAGGTGAGAGTTGTAGAAAGAGAAAAGGGCAGGGAAGGAGCCTGGGCAGAGAGATGAGGGCATTGTGATTGAGGAGTGACAGTGAAGAAGGAAGAACATAGTAGATTGTGTTGTCACACAAAGAAGCTGAGGGAAAAGAATTCCAAGCACAGTTGCTGCACAGCTATGAAGTGTGTCCTTATTGGAATTAGGAACTTACTCAAATGTAACTGAGATGACTCAGGTAATTGTCTATTAGGTTTGGACACACATAGGTGATTAGTGACCTTGACAAGAGAAGTGTCTATTAAGAGTCATATAATTTTTGGGGTCTCCTTTTGTTGCCTTTGATTTATTGCTTATCTTTTAAAGCCACTTTGCTGTATTCACTCTACTTCATATAAGCTCATCAAGAAAGGGACCTTTTATTCTTAATTTCATTCCCTCAAGCATGTAGCACAATGTTATGCCCACCATTGGAACAGATTTTTATTGAATACAATCTTCTCTTATTTCATTAAACCCAGCAAGAGACACTAAGAAATTGCTTTGAGGAATTGGTCTGCAATTTATAGCTGAAATGCGTGGTTTAGGGGCCACCAGACATGGCCAGTTATTTTGAAGGGCTGCCTCACCAACACTTACAGTCATCATACATCTTTTTTGGGAGCCCTCTATGCTGAGAGAGGGTGGCTGTTCAATTTTTTTGGTCATTAGAATGTAATATGTAACAAGCCTATTGTTTTAAGACTTATTATTCCACTTTTACATTTTTGTCTTTAATATTGAAGCTGTATTTTGTATAGTACTTCCCTGAGTGAATCTATAGGAATACTCTATAAATATAGCAAACACATGAGATCCCACTGAACTTGAGTAGCTTCTTAACAGATGTACATATATCTCATAGATAATTTAAAGGTTCTTTTCATTCAAACTAAGAGGTATTTGAGTAGATTTCTGTTGTTTTGCTGAGCCCATTTATTGCTTCTTTTCATTTATCTTAAGGATATTAATATTGACAGAGATGGAATAATGTTTACAATGAGCACATGAGGGACGCCTGGGTGGCGCAGTCGGTTGAGCAGCCGACTCTTGGTTTAGGCTCAGGTCCGTGATCTCAGGATTAGAGACTGATATGGGGCTCCACATTGGGGATGGAGCCTGCTTAAGATTCTCTCTTTCTCCCTCCCCCTCTACCCCTCTCCCACTGTGTGTGTGTGTGTGTGTGTGTGTGTGTGTGTCTCAAATAAATCTTTAAAAAAAAATGGGCATATGATTTTGAAGTGCTTTATAAATCAAGTGATAAAAAAACAATCAGTAGTAATAGGATACCGATTGAATTCTGTGTTAAAATTATGTTTTGATATTTTAAAAATGTTATTGCCTAGTGTGAAATTGTACCTTAATTTTCATTATGAAAATTGAATATAATATTGAGATAATTTTAAGGAATAAGGCAATATTTTTTGGGGGGGTGTTGTATATGTTTATTACCTTGATTATGGTGATGGCAACACGAGTGTATGCCTATGTACAAACTTATCAAATTGCAACATTAATAATGTGCAGTTTTTTTGTATACCAATTATACCTCTAGCTGAGGGGGGAAAACAATTATGTGCTTCAAAGAGAAACATGCATTCATATGTAAATCAATTGTAAATGAGAGTATAGATGTAAATACTACTCAATTCACCATATTCATTTGTGATGTTATATCTTGTTATTTTGAAGCCTTGATTAATGAATTTTTGTCCAAACCTAGAGGAGTTTCTGTATCCTTTCAGTATAACTTCCCCTCCACCACCCTTGTGTGAAATTTGCTATTGTTTTCTGTTATGGGTAGCAGGCTCTATAGTGTGAAAACTGGTAGTCAACCTAGGCCACTGGTGAAGAAGAGCTTATGTGAAAATCCCCTGGGTAGGAAAACTGGCTCAAACATTCCTATTTAAAAGGCATGGGATGGGGTGGGGGTGGGGGGGTTGCCTGGGTGGCTCAGGTGGGTAAGCGT